CAGAGTTTGGCATGCTGGTCTTCACAAGTTGAAAGATTGTGTTATTTCTAACAAATTTTTTATTTGATTTAATATTTCTTATCAAATCAGTTGCTCATCTAGACGTTTTTTTTCTTTTTTTACATTAATGCAGTTGCTGCCACCCCCTCTCACAACGAGCTTTATCCTTAGACCCACTCTGTTCCTAATTTCCATCAACAACTTTCCCAATGACATCTATTAACTCAGTATCTATGCTGATGACAACTATTTACTGCTGTCTTAATGGTAAGTCTGTTAGGTTTGATAAGGTCAAATTGGGAGATGATCTTAAAATGATTTACAATCTGTTAACTGGGGAAGGAAATGGTTTGTTAATTTTAATGCCTCCAAAGCAAAACTACTTTCTTTTAATCATCTGAGAGCATCTTTTTTGCCTTCTATCCTGCTAACCTCCAAGAGAGTGACTGATTAGGCTTGTTTTCCACTGACATGAAGTGGAAAAATTATATTGAATCAATTGCTAGATCTGCAACTAGGTTGGTTCATCATGTCATGTGAGACAATTTTTCTTGCATTCAAGTGTACCATTCATCCATGGATTGAATATTACTGCCATATTCAGTCTGGTGTTTCTGATATATATTTAGAGATTCTTGATAAATAATCTGCAACATTATCAGTCCTGATTTCTGGCATCTCAGCTCCAGTCCTTTTCCCATTGCCGTGGTGTAGCTTCCTTATTCCTTTTCTACAAATATTTTCAGGGTATTTGTTTTGATGAGATTTACTCTCTGGTACCTATACTTTATGAATTTAAACACACTTATTAGGTTGGAAGCTAGGTGTCATAATTTTACAGCTGAAACTGATAACAGTTTCTTCTCCTGCACTTCTCACTTGTGGACCTCTCTTCTGGTTTCTCATTTTCCAATCAACTTGGATTTTCAAATATTTAAATGCAATGCCAATCATCTTCTGTCTCCTTAATTCCTGTTCTCTTATTGTCCTCTCTCCTTAATAACACTTTTTCACTCTCGGTAACACCTTGCATCTTATTAACTTTATCACCTCACTTGGAATGAAATGATTAAAAGAAAAATTTCAAAAGATTGTAGAAAATGTTACACATACCAATTTTCTGTCTTTGTGTATTATGATGATGTATTTTCAAAATTAGTTTCATATTGGCTTGCTCAATTTATTGTTATACAAGCCCACTTATTATAATAGGAGCCATTGACTTTTTGGGGGTATAATGCAATGAAAAAAAAGAGACAAGAGAAATTGAATAAGGTATGGTTTTGTTTTGCTTTTCATATCACTTTTGACTTTCCAAAACTAGTTTAAAAACAAAATGAGTAAATTTCCTTTCTTATCAGTGCAGAAACAAATATTTCATCATTCATTTAGGCCAGGTGGTTAAGTTTTGCTTAAAACAGCAGATTGTTTACAAAAATGGAAAACTAAATATTGTGTGCATGAAATATGAGAAACAAAGGATTAGATTTGATCAAAACAATGCCTATCCCCACTCACTGCCAACAATAAACCAATGCAGAAACCTAGGAGAGAAAAAAATACAGAGAAACACCTGACTGAAAAAAGTAAACTTTGTCCTATGAGCAGGGAAGACAGACATTTTCCTTTTGCACACTGACATTGTTTATACCTTATCTGCCAATCATTTGTCATTTTACATACAAACATAACTTGCTGATTTCAGATTCAGTTAAAAATGCCCTTCACTGAATTCAAGTTTAACATATTTCACCTCTGCATTTATGATTATCATTACATTCAATATTAGAAAACCTGAAAAGGAACATTAAAAAGAAAGAAAAACAAAAAAGAAGTCAAAAAAGATTCACTTCCTATATATGGGAATGGGAATAAGAATCTTCATAGAGAAATTGTATTGCTTTGGTGAATGTCATGTGAAGTACACATCAGATTGGGTAACTTTTCAGCACTTTTGCTAACTCTTCTAACCAACAATATATCCTATGGTCATCATTTTTTCCTTCAATAACACCATATCATAGGTGGTAATAATAATGGTTTTTGACTGGCTCAACATAGACAATATGTTTTTTTGATTTTTTTTCATCAAAGTTATCTGCAATGTCAGGTAACTTTAATAACATTAGTTTAAATATAGATTCAATGTGTTAACAATGATTTTGAATATAAATTCAACAAGTTGCTTACGACTAACTTTAATTTTAATGTGTCCTGCAATATTGATATCATCTTGTTTGAACAAATACACACCCGAATAAAATTTTTTAAGATTCCTCATGCTTTCAGTTTTCCTTTCTTATTTTTGTGTTCTTTCCTATATTTGACTTGCTTCTGGTAGCAGGTATCCCCTCAATTTATATAAAAATGAACAACATCTATCAAAATCTAACAAGTACAAGAAATCTATTCCTAACAAAATTTTGAAACTATCATTATCAACACCAGAACCTTTTCATGAATGAAAAGGTCTTCTACTCAATGGTAAATATTCTGTAGAACAAAACAAAATAAAAATTTCACAGCTTCTGAAAAAGCATTTTTGAGAAAAAATAAGTGATTCGCTCTCTTGCTAGTCAGAAGGGCTTTTTTATTTTATTTATTTTTTAAGAAGGTTTTTGAGTTCACCACCACAGTAAATATAAAAAATAGATATGGCAATTTCAATATTGCTGTGAAAGAAACACTGGCAGCAAACTACCTGCATATGGATAGAAAATGAATTCAGTAAATATACAAAAATAGAGGTGTAAGACAAAGATATATCTTCTCACCAGACTTATTCAAGCTATATAGTGAGGCAATTCTGAGAGAATTAGAAGTCCTACCAGGATTCATTGTTGTTAGCCACAATCTTAACAACACAAGATATGTAGATCACAGTGCTGATAGTAGACACAGAAAAGAAATTATAAAAGGTAGTGAAGGAAAGTGAGAAGAAATGACTAAACATAAATTGCAAGAAGACAATGCATGGTATTAGTAAAAGGAACAGCCCTAAATTCAAATTAAAATTGGAGACACCAAAATCAAGCAAGTACAAGAATTTAAATATCTGTAAGTTAAAATGTTTTAAAATAAAACAATGAAATCTGAAGGCATGTTGGGATAGCGAAAGATGCCTTCCAAAAACTAAGCACAGTATTAAGAAACAGGAAAATTTCAGTATCTGTCTATATTTCTGAGATGAGATATTATGTACACTATTTAGATTATTCAGACTATTGTCCTCATCTTTGTTGCCATATTTATCACAACGTTTCAGCTGTTGTACACTCCAACTTTCTTCAGGTGGTTGGAATGTCAAACTGAACCCTTTAAAAATTTCGTTACAAACAAAGAAAAGAGTAATGAAATGTTATGTAATATCCGTCCTCCTACATGGCAGTGAATGCTAGACAATCTCCTTACAAATGAAGTAGAGACTTGAAGAGAAATGTGGTTCTATAGAAGGATGCTGAGAATACCATGGACTGAACATGTGAGCAACAACAAAGTTTTAAATTAATGAAAGCAGAAACAAAACGGACACTTATTAAAAAGAGACGGTTTAAATTTCTAGGGCACCTATTGAGGAAAGAGTGCTTAGAAATTTTGACACATTTCTCTCTATACCAAATTAATAATCGAATACATTCTCCCTAAATCTTTTTACTCTCATATTCCGAGCCCATGGGAGGTAATTTAGCTCGTGTCATATAGAAATCATTTGGAGCTGTAACACAAAATAAATCGAAAAAGAGCATAAAGCTACAGACCCAAAATGATACTAGTCAAGAATGATTTCTATCTTATATGAAAGAATTTGTACAGAGGGAAAATGTTCACAGATGTAAAAATAAGGATATTTTCCCTACTTCTTTGCGATTATGAGCCGATATTATTTCCCCATATACTGATTATTGCATTTTTCTTCACCTATCCTTAAACTTCAATTTTTACCTTTCAGAAAAGTTAAGTAGTTGAAATAATAAATTATATTGCACTTAGGTCACTATTTCGCGTGCATGACTTTTCAAACCTAAAAGTAGGCTAGCCGCTAGTTAGATGAGGCTAGTTCCAAAAATTTAAAGAGAATGTAAAAAAAGAAATAAATCAGTACTTATTATGCAAAAAAATTTTGCCAAAAATTGTTTGAAATGCTAAACTAAATTGAATACGTCGTAAATCTTAAGTAAAGGGTGGAAATAGAAAAGAACTCAACCAAAAAAAGCTAAAAATGATTTGGAGTTGGATTTTTCGGCGGTCGTACCACGAAGATGGTGATCACCTTTATGCTATGCACGTATGACAGTTTATGTTGATGATGTGTTTACTTTTTAGTTTGTGTTACAAAATGTAAAATCTATTTCGAAAATTGATTATCAATACAACATCGATTATAATTAAATAAACTGTACAAAAATACATGTAAAAAAAAGTTATATGCAAAAAAGGGGGTGACGTACAAAGAGAGTTGCGTGTTCGTGTTTTTAAATTTTAATCAACATGTTTTTTTACACTTTAATTAGGTCGAAGTTAATAATATCAACTAAAAGAAACAAATGATTTAACTTACTTTATTGGAATGTTTTATTTTTATTTTTTAATTATTCTTTTTTTTTAACATATCACTTACGCATCTCCTGCTTCTGTTATTTTTATTTTAAATCATCTGATTTTTTTTTAAATACACTTTTTAAAACTTTATGCAAATATGTAAAAATTAATTTCAAAGAAATTTATAGTAAGAATAAATTATCAAAAGTATAAATGTATATTTTTAAGAGTATTTTTTGAATTTAAAATTTCTTTAGTAAATTCGTTTTATAATTGTTTTCTGAAACTCCAAAAAGGACCTTATTTTTACTTTCAAAGATGAATTGCTAATAAAAATAACTAAAAAAAAACTGATTAAAAAAATAAAGTCATAAATTGTAAATATATTAAACAGCAAGGAGTCAATTCAACAAACATACCAAAAAGATAAACCAGCTTAAACTTCAAACTGACTACCTTACCCGTAAGTAAAGTTCATAAAAGTAGGATTTTGTATTGAAGAACTTTGTCGATTAACATGATTCCAAGGCTGTGGTCGACCAGACGCCATATTTGTAAATGATGCGGTTTGTAATAAAAAAACAATAAAACTTTACGCACAATCTTAAATATCATTTTTGTTTTTTATTTTTTTATTTTGTTACTTATTTTTTATGATTAAAATTTTTTTTTAAGAAATATAGAAGTCATATGTTAACATAAAATTATTTAATTTTATTTTTGTTTTTTTAAACAAGTTTTATTTGTTTTTAATTTTTACTAACTTACATAGCTCTAAATTTAAACTTAATGCAAAACAATCAGAAGATTGTTTACCTTTTTTTCTGAGACGTCTTGTTATGGATGGTGTAAGTCAGCTTAACTGATTATTAGAGAGAAATGAAAAAATTTTCATTACAATATCATTTCCCATATTGGTGGCTAAAAACTAAAAATTTTTTGGTAAATAGCATTAGTTGAAGCTTTTTTAATTAAATTTTATTATTTTTAGTTATAAAATCAATAGAAGACTAGAGCATTTATGAATATAAAGGAATCCATGTCGATGTTTTCCTTCTGAGTATAATCAAAGTAGAAAATATTGATGTTTATAAATTATTGTTTGTGTAATAAATATATTGAAAAAAAATTGTCTATATTTCTGAAATGTATATGTTACATTATTTACATTAGTCGGACTATTGTCCTCATCTTTGTCGCCATATTTGTCACAACGTTTTTGGCCGTTGTACGCTCCGGCCTTCTTCAGGTGGTTGGAATTTCGAACTGAACCCTTTATTTCGATCACTGGGGTAGACTGTTCTAATTCCACGTGCCATGTTTTGATGGATGTCAGTTATCAGTTATCTCCTGCTAATTTTCCCTCTGAAAGTTCTCCACTGCCTTAACCAGGTATTGAACTCACCTTCTTTGGGTCTGTCACTGGATCTAACCAACGCCTTTATCCACTGTGCCATGTGTCCTTGAGGACATCTGGATATGAACTTCTGAGTATTATAAACCTAATGTTTTCAGCAATCATTTTTTACCAGTGCTCATATTGCAATTTTTTGCTGTTATCATTGCATGTTTTTACCAGAGTTCATATTGCAACTTTTTTTGTCATTGCTTTTCTCTGGCACTCCTTATTACTGGTTCCCATATTGTATTTATTTCTATGCTTGGTCGGCTCAGGAGATTTTTTGTGGCCTAGCATATGTGCTGATTCCTTAAGTTTACGAATTTTCCAATGGTGTTCCCTGTCTATGATCTCAACATGATCCCACAGGGGGCGGTGATCTCCCTTCTCTCTCCATATGTGGTCAGCCACGCCTGATTTTTTCTACTTCCCCGCGTTACAGCTTTCTGGTGTTCTTGAAGCCTTACCTTGAGGGGGGCCTGTCTCTCCTTTATATTCCTTTCTGCAGCTGCAGGGGATAGCGTTCACACAGTCTTTAGTCATGTTCTCCTCTATGGGGGGTCTCACTCGAGAGAGATATCTGCGAAATGTCGTCAAGCTTTTGAAGGTTGTCCTGATTTTATATGGACCGCAAATCCTTTGTATTTACTCTGATAACCCCTTCACATAAGGCAGGCAGACTGTTTTCTGAGTGTTGTTGTCCTCCTCCTCCTCCTCCTTTGTACCCGCCTATCCCAGTTTTTTTTGGCTGCTGCCATGTACCCAGGGTAGTTGTTACGTTGTAGGGTACTACTTATACTGACCAATTCCTTATCCATAACGTCTCTGGGTCGCCACTTATAACTTTTGTTCGGTGTTGTAAGCAACGGACGATCCCTTTCTTTACGCTGTATAGATGGTGGGAGTTGAAATTGAGATACTGTCCGGTGAATGTTGTTTACGGTATACGGATGTCTTGAACCCATGCTCTATTCGAGATATTAGTACATCCAGGAATGGGAGTGTGTTGTTACTCTTTTCTCCATTGTGAACTGTATCGAAGGTCTTATTGAGTTCACATGGTCCAGTAGAACCTGGACATCTTCCTGTTGTGGCCAGAGTATGAAAGGTGTCATCTACGTACCTTAACCATATAGTTGGCTTTAGAGATATAGATTCTAATGCCATTTCCTCAAAGTATTCCATGTATATATTCGCCATTGCTGGTGATAATGGCGAGCCCATTGCTAAGCCCTCATCCTGTCGATATATGTGTGATCCCATTCCGAAGTGTGTTGTTTGTGTACAGAAAGTCAACATCTCCATCAGATTATCTATTGGAATACTGGTCCGTTCTTCTAGGGAAGAGTCAGAGGTTAATCTGTCTCTGACTACTGAGAGTGCCTCCTCCGTGGGTACCTTGGTGAACAAACTCACCACGTCCAAGCTCACCATCTGGTTGGATAGGATGGGAGCATCTTTGATTATTTCCACGAAGTGGGCGGAGTTTCGGACATATGAAGGAGACTTTCCGATCAATGGGTCAATTATATCTACAAGGAAGCGACTCAGAGGGTGGCACAGAGCCTTGGCAACTAACAATCGGCCTGAGTGGAATACCGTCTTTGTGAATCTTAGGGAGACCGTATATGTGAGGTAACTTGAATAATGCTGCGATAACTGCCTATACGTCTCTTAGGTGCGAAGTGATCCTTGTTCTTGATTAGGATCTGTGACAGTTTGCGTTCTGTTTTCATAGTAGGATCTTTTTCACTTTGCTGTAGCTACCATTGCTAATGAGGTCTTCCAGTTTTCTTGTAATAAAGGGTTTTGTTGTTAATCACTACAGTCGATTACCTTTGTCAGCCCCGTAGTATGTGATGTTCTCAAATATGGTGTACAATTCAATCCCAGTAGTCTCGAGTTTTGTTATCTACAGATATTTTGGAATGTAAAGGCCTGTCTCAAACTTTCCATCTCATTTCATCCGCCTGAGCCTGAGGGATGTTTTAGAAAAGAAACGTATGGGCAATGATGTCCAAGTGGCATTGAATTTGTCAATAATTGGGAAAAAATCCTTGGTTTAAATAAGCGAAATTGGCTCCAAATCGTTATTCTGGAAAAATTATTTTTCATGAGGCAAACGATCTGATTGGTTGGCTGATGTTCAGCGAGCGAGCTTTGGAGAGGGTGATGGACATTGTGATCCAAAATCTCCCAAAATAAACAACAATTGTATTTAATTTTTAAAAATAGAGAAATAATATTACAGAAATTGTTGTCAAACTGCGATTTGTAAATTGTCTGTAATATTGTAGTGGTGATTTATTAACCAATGAATGTTTGGTTTGATGTGATTTGTATTTTTGATGTATGTATGCTAAAAGCATAATAGATTCGTTTCATCCAACCAGAGATTAAAGAAATTATAACAAATTTTTTAATATGTCAAATGAGTGATAGTTAGAAGGCCAATGCACCCTCCTACCTGTTTTGATAAACAGTGGTTCTGATTGTGAAGGGACTGCTGACTTTGGTTTGACTTGATGATGTTGGAAATGTCAAAATGTTGGATTGTTGTCGATCCAGATGAAGTTGTTTGGTTCTTGCTCTGAAGATATTTTGGTATCAGACTGTCGATAGCAATGTTCAGACTTTGTAGTTGTATATCTGAATCGAAAATACTTTTGTTGTATTTAAAAATTTTAAAAGGTCCTTGTAATTATTTGGTTCGCCATTTTACCACAACGTTTCTAACGAAGACGTAGTCGCAGTCTTGTAAAGATTTGGAATTTAAAACTCCCTAAATTTATTTCAACTCTGTAGTAGTGAATGATAGTTCACCATTCTATGTTTAAAGGATGTCTGTTAAAGGTAGAGGTTGGCTCTAATTGTTCCTCTCCAAAATTTCCTGGTAATGCCTTAACCAAAGACAAGATCTGAAGGAGTGCACTTGTTCTTTCTTCATCAGGGTTCGTAATGAAAGCATTATCCACTTTCTTCAGCCATGTTTTTTCAGTGACAGAACATGTTAATATGAAAATTAAGTTGACGGTAAACCTCTCAATGACCATTTTGTCCTAGAGATGATATTCAGTTGTTTTAGATAAGGGTAATTGCAGATAAGTTCAATGCTCAAAGCATGGAACTTTTAACAACTAGATGTAACTATTCGTTAAAAACCGAGGGGCAATCCCAGTAAATTTAAAGATTCCTTAATATTGATTTTGTGAAACAATTGTTACCGAAATTTGTGAAGAGGAATGGCTCCAACATCAAAAATCTGAGGTTAAAAATTGCGACAAAACGTATTGATAGCCGTGAAATTAGAGGGACAAAAGTCCTCATGAAGATTTTTTTTTCAATTCTAAAGAAAAATCCCTGCTCGTTGTTTAACGTAACGGTGAAGAAAGTTCGTTATTTACATCTGACACAAAAAAAAGGGTTATAGGATAAAGTCAATTAGGATTCTAAGCCTTGTAAAAACGTTCAAAATTTAATCTTAAGAGAAAATGTTCAATAACAGAAAAAAAGCTTGATCGAAATATTTCTCTGAGCGCCTAAAAAGTTCTTTCAAAGATTAGAGATATTTTTGTTAAGGTTTATAAACACTCCCAGTTCTTGTGCTGAAGTAGCAATGGACGTTGGTAGATGCCTAAAGATGTATTTTGCAGGCCTCAGTGAGTTCATCCCTTTGTTGACGACAGAAAACGTATGGGCATCAAAGGAGAGGTTTGGATGCAGCATTGATTTGGTCTTGAACTGCGACAGCATTTGTTCTCGATAGATTCTTTATGCATAGGAATATCTTCGTTTTTAAATAAAGTAGTTCTTGTCGGTAATTGAGGATTATATTTGTCGTTCGTAGCACCTCACAGAAATGGTTTTGTAAATAAATGGTGCCAAATTGGCGTAGATTCTCCAAATTTATGGAGTTTTTGATGGCTGTATAAATATCAAACAGCTTTCCTCCCAAATCTTTTATTTTTGCAAATTTCCTTTTTACAGAGAAAATTGGTGGCTTAGTTACAAAATTCTTATCTCTGATAAGAATCAAGACTGATTGGTTTTTGAAAAACGTCAGAAAACAGGTTTTAGTCTTCTCAAAGATAAGTGAGGTTTGGAAAGACTTTATGGCACATGGAAAGAATTCATTTTATATTTTGAGAGCT